GAAAGAGATACAAGGAAAGAGAAAGCGAGAAAGAGAGAGAGATAAACGAACAGTGAGGAGGAAGGACAGTGAGCACGGGAGATAAAGAGACATTAAATAGCGCCTCTCCGTCTCCCTGTCCTGACCTTCGATCTTTTAATCGTAGGGAATTACTCGCGGCTGGCCTGCGAGATCCAGTTCGTACGGTCGATGGGCTACTACCTGATCCAGATCTACATACCCTCAGGGCTGATTGTCATAATATCGTGGGTGAGCTTTTGGCTAAACCGAAACGCGACCCCCGCTCGGGTGGCCCTCGGAGTAACCACTGTGCTCACTATGACGACCCTAATGTCCTCGACGAACGCGGCGCTACCAAAGATCTCCTACGTCAAGTCCATCGACGTCTATCTGGGCACCTGCTTCGTCATGGTCTTTGCCTCGTTGCTCGGTGAGTGCGATCGTGTACTCTTCCGTGCCTTTACGTCGCTGCCATTAAGCTTTCCATCCTGCGTCCTCTCATATACTCCGTATAGCTCGGAGCCGTGCCGTTCCAGTAGCGAGCTCGTAGAGTATCGTAGACGGATACTTGTGCAGGGCTCACGTGACAAATGCAAGGGACCCATTTTCCTCGAAATCGTTACTTACTTGTCGTCGTTGTAAGGCGCGTAAAGTGTCCTCCCGGTCCGAATCTCTCACGATGGAATGGCGGCGATCTCGCGGAGACCATTTTCACGAAACGATTGCGAACTGCGGAGAAAGACCAAATGCTACGAGTTGTTCGATCGATTAGTTGCACGATTTAACATGGTTGCATCTTCACTACTGCGATTGCGAGTACCTCATTACATACGACATCAAGGTACTTCGCCATCGCGGTGTTCCGTGTGGGCGGGGTTTCCAGGGAAATGGCTTTCTTCCATCTGCACGTGAGCTCTACACAAGTACCGGGAGCGCAAGCATGAGTGAGATTCTCGACGGATGGAAGTGACGGGGGTCCGTGAACCCCGGGCTTTTCTCGCCCGGGTCTTACAGTGGCAGACGTGTCATGGCATTGAATGGTTACGTGTTTTCATTCCCGTGGATTCTTATTCTTCGCAGAGTACGCCACGGTGGGCTACATGGCGAAGAGGATTCAGATGCGGAAGAATCGGTTCCAAAAGATAGCCGAGAGCATGAAGGCCGCGAGCGAAAATCCAGGACCGCCGCGCGTGCCCGGCGATCATGGCGATCACGCGCCTAAACAAACTGTGAGTAGCGACGGCCAGAGTGTTGTCGTTCCCGATTTCTTTCTTCCACGCAGAATGTCGTTTTGTCACCGCGTATGACCAGGAGATCCAGACGTACTAGCGTTCCCCTGGACGATTTTACACGCTTTCTTTCAGCGAGTAGACGATCGGCTCTGTCAAGATATCCAGATGTCCAGATCGTGGCACGATTACAGATTTATGCATAATCGTAGCACTTGTTTCATTACTTTACAGCTCCCGAGAGCTGTGTAATATTATATAAACATACACATACTACAAATATCATCTGTCTTGCCTACTTGTCAATAGCGGAAGGGAGTTCTCGAATTCAAAATATATTTTAAACAATGAAATTTTTAATACTATAATATATTTAACGAGGTGATGATCGCCATAAAGAGACTCTAATAGATGGCAGTAAACGAATTTTTAATAGATAGCGATAAATGTATATTAAAGCTAATCAAGCTCTTCTCCCTTGTCAGAGCAGGCTCAACAGGACGGAGCCGAGCATTATCCTCGATCCGGCTCAGCACGTACCATCGCGCAATGTAAATATGCACTCTATCCTCCCTCCTCCCTTAAAAAAAGAACTAGAAACAGCAGGCTCGACACACGAAAGGTCAAAAGCTAAAAGGTTCTGCGAAATGAATTTCCCATTCGGCCGCGCAACGCGCCGGACAACGTGCTTCATGCCAACACGAACGCGAGGCACTATAAATTTTCTTTTAA